ATACACCTCTACCCCGATACAACGCGACCCAATATAACACAAATTCAGATATAATGCGGTAAAGCAGCGCTCTGGGGCGGGGCAGGGCTACGCACTCCGGGGGATCAAAGCAAGTTCGATATAACGCGGTTTCACCTATAACGCGGTAATATTTTTTGGCTCCCAAGGACAGTGTTATATCAGGGTAGAGGTGTATCTACGTTATGATAGCAAGAACAGCAAGTCAAATCAATAGCTTAACATTTCTGATAATCTACATTTATACCTTTTACATGACAACACATTTCAGCATACAGTAATTTACTGTCTACCAAATCTGCAAAACACTGGCTAGAAATTTTAATTTAACAATATACTCCACAAAATGTGTGACAACTGAACAATGTGTCCAATTATTATCTTTTCTTTAAGAGAGGCAGTTACTCGCCACAAAAATTAAAATTTCACACACGACTTAATTCTGCTTTTCACTGTGTCCATGTAATACCCACTGAAGACAATGGGCTTTATTCAATTAACTCAAACCCTATGGATTTTTCATAACTTCAAAAATGAAACTGAACTACTCTGAAATGTCCATTTTATTTCCTGCTTTTTGGAATACAATACAGAAGCGGCATTTTAAAAGAAAAAGTAACCATCACAGTGTTTCAAATTATTAATTGCTTTTCTTTAAAAAAAAAAAAAAAAGTCTGTTGAAAATAATGGCACAACTCTTCCTACATTAGTTTCAGTTTAACATACCTTTAAAAATATTCACATGCTATGTTTTTTATTTAAACAGTTAGTCCGACTGAAATAATCTCAGCAGCTTTAGATATGGATGAGTAAAATACCTGGTATATAACTGTATATAAATTAGTTTGCAACAATAAATTATCTATCTAGACTTTTACACCACACCCACCATCATGGTATCCATGTACCACTTTTAATGACCAAGTAAAAACATTTACAAAACTCCCACTTTTTGTTATCTATATTGTAGTAGTGCCTAAAGGCTCAATCAGGGTCAGGCCCCATTGTGCCTGGCACTTTGTGAGTCACTAATTTTATGTAGTTTAGTCTTAATTGACTGTGAAGTACACACAAGATTTTCCAGCTATGAGGGAACTTGAACACTGAAATAAACCTAGAAAGAGAAAAGCATGTACCTTACTTTTAAATTAAAGATGGTATGAAATATCTGTTCATACAAAACTGCATAGTGTTTTCCCCCAGAGATAAGGACAATGTTGGTTAATGAAGATAAGCACAGTTACTATGATCTTTATTTAAAGTTCAAATGGCAGCTCATCTTCAATTTGAGAAAACACAGATTCAGTGTAGTTATGAAGTCCAACGCCACCAAGCTACTTTCATTCTGTCCCACACAGCAGAGAGAGAATCAAATGCAGGACGGACATCCAAGATGGTGAACTGATAATTCTTATCTACTTCACCACCATCATAATAATCAATAATATATCTGACTTCCTTCCCACAACGATCAATAATCCAATCATGTCTGTCAAAAGGAAGTTCATATCTGGAAAGAGAATGCAGTAAATTAACACCAGCTATTAAATCAAGATGACATTTCATAAAATGGGCACAAGTCATATGTACTATATAGGTTACTTTACAACAATATATGTTCAAAAATCCTGCCTCTGTTCTGGTAAATATAAGTTGAAACTGTAGTTCTAAAACATTTTTAAAAATCTACTTCTACATCACATTTCAACATATAAGGAAAAATAAAAAATTTCTGGGGCAAACGTACCCCATCCATGAGCGTATTCTGGCTCTGGGTGAATACTCCTTAGCTTTACCTCCAAACCGGATCAACGATGGTCCACATGGGCATTCCCTAAATATATTTTAGGCAATTAAAAAGACACTTTCAGTTTTAAGACAGATAACGTACAGTTTAAGAACTTGTTTTACTGATACATAAATTGTTTATTAGAAAAAGTTGTGGTAAAAAATCAGTTATTCAAATAATAAAACACTTTTTTACTTTAAAATAGATTTACAAGTCAGCAGTAAGCTCTCAGTAAATGTGAAAGTAACAGTGTGACCTAACATATCTCAGCGGTATCTCCATCGGGGAGGGCAGCAATAAGAGTACCCATTACGGAAGAAAACACTAGAGATCATTTCTGGCCAATGGGATTACACTGGGCCAGATTTTCTTTTCTGAATAGACCACTCAAGTGTAGAAGGAGACTGTGGGCCAAGCATTACCCACAGCAGGGGAGCACTCAGTTGGTGTAAAAATGGCAGAGTTGGATCCTGCACCAAACAGCCGCTCACCCCAGTGTAGAGGGTGTGTCAGAGGGAGATGGTAAGGTGGAGCTCTGCTGATTCTCAGATGACATATGGTTCCCTGGGGGGGGATACGATAGAGGTCTATAAAATCATGAATGGTGTGGAGAAAGTGAATAAGGAAGTGTTATTTACTCTTCACAGAACACAAAAACCAGAGGTTGCCCAATTAAATTAATAGGCAGCAGATATAAAACAAGCATAAGGAAGAACTTCTTCACACAACACACAGTCAACTTGTGGATCTTCTTGCCAGGGGATGTTGTGAAGGCCAAAAGTATAACTGGGTTCAAAAAAAATAATTAGATAACTTCATGGACGAAAGGTTCATCAACGGCTACTAGACAAGATGGTCAGGGATGCAATTCCATGCTCTGGGTGTCCCTAAGCCTCTGACTGCCAGATGCTGGGACTGGAGCACACGATAGTTTCCCTGTTCTGTTCATTCCCTCTGAAGCAATAACATTGGCCACCGTCAAAAGACAGGATACTGGGCTAGATGGACCATTGGTCTGACCCCGTATGCCAGTTTTATGACCATATATTTCCAGCACAATTTAAAGCAGCCCCTAGGTTATTCTAACTTACTCTGAGAGACTGGAGCATACTGACGCACATGACGGGATCCGTAACCAGCTTTCAGATAGCTTCTGCCACCAATATCCTGCACAAAGTGCATCTCAGATCTAATACAATAGATTTTAAGGCCAGAAAGGCATTTATGATCATCTAGTCTGATCTCCTGCATATCACAGGTCATAGAATTTCACCGGTGATTCCTGCATGTAGCCCCCCATCCTGTGGCTGAACTACAATATATCTTTTAGAAAGATAGATCATCTTGATTTGAGGACTCCAGGTGATAGAGAATTTACCCCATCCTTGATAATATGTTCCAATTGTTAGTTAACCCATTAAAAATTTCCATCTTATTTCCAGTTTAAAAACGTTGCTGACAAACTTTCAGTCACTGGACCTTGTTAAACCTTTGTTCCTAACTAAGGGATTTTGGTACTACATCCAAAAAACACACAAGTCTCAAAGTCTTGGAATTATAAACATCAGGTCATTTTCTGGATAAATTGAAACCATTCCAACTTTTAAAGACTTACAGTAGCAAGAACAAAAGCAATTTTTTGTTTTTCATCTCAAATGTACTTACGCAGCATGAAGAGCTTCCCACTTTAAAATCTCTTGCCAAGCCTGCTCATTGTTCTGATTGTGAATCTTGATAATATTATTCATATCTTTGGGGTTTATGTCATCATCTTTCCACCGCCATCTAAGAAAGGAACACTATTTTGGAATTTTTGACAAATATTGGAGCTTAAATTCCCCATCTCCCCTGAGAGGTAAAAGATCTGCCCCAAGATTACAGAGCAACCCTGTCAGAGTCAGAAGTCATGCATTGCTAGCTTCCAGTCCCCTACTTAGTCCTCTTAACTACTTATCTTTCTATGTACAAATTATAGTTATCTAACATTAATCACAGTTTGAACAAATAAACAGCATGAGCTAAGTCATGGTATTGGAATGTGTTGACAAAGCTATCTAGAGTTAGTTTACATTTCACAACACTTAGAAAATTGTGTGTAGGATGCAACCCAAATTCATTTTCAATAGATAAAGAAAAAAATTATGTATCTAATACATTTAAGAGTCATGTACAAATAACTCTTATTCCCTAATCCAACACACACATATACATGATCTTACATTTAAGCTAAACATCTGCATACGGGTTTGCAGGATCAGGCCCTTAGTGTTAAGATGGTTTATAATACATGGACTAAAGTTTTACTACTTTGAATACAGTGCTATAAATAACTACTGTATTTTATCATCAATTGGACCTTCAAAAGATAAGTTTAAATATGACAGTTTCAACAAGAACACACTTTAAACATGTATTATTTGTATGAAAAAATGAGTTTTGTCCCACTCTCCCATTACTGATCCAAAGCATTTTTTAGGCTAAGAGCCTTCATTCAGGCCTTGTCTACACTTTAAAATAAAATAAATAAATAAAAATAATAATAAAAAAAAACACCACAGAAATCGCACTATTGCTAAAACCATTTTAATTTCTATACTAGTCAACACTAGGCAACCAATAGTTATAACCAAAGCTCCTGCAGCCACCAACATTTTTAACATCATTTTATCTTAACCTGTTTAGTGAATGTCTAACTGATTTTATGATACTGACAGACAGAAGCCTAGTCTACATGAGGCGTTCCATGTTGCTAACACCAGTGGACCTGATCTAATGTTCACAATGGTGGAACTTTAGTTTAAAAAAATAAAAAAAAGACTAAAAAAAAATCCATAGTGACCAAGTTTTAAGACCAATTTACTCCTCGGAAAACGTTTTGAAAGGATACGGACTTCTCTGAACAAGCTGACTGATTACTGCCTGGAGCCCATCAACCCCTTAATTAAATGCCTACAATATCAACGCATAATGAGTTATTTTGCAGTCTTCAGGCTAGCACACATTCTACTGGATAAAATCAGTTTACTTACCCTTTCCTTAGCATAGCATTCCAAAACATTTGCTCTGACGGATAAACCCATTTTTGTTCTGAATGCGCTCTAGGAATGGAAGACTCTTCTCGGATAGTTGATAGTGGAAATGGTTGATTCAGGGATGGCATTTGATTAGGCGGTGGCATCTAAACACAAATGATTACTTTAACAAAATCTCAGAGCCAAAAGTGTTTTGATATATCATAAAAGCAACATAGAGTCCTGTGGCACCTTTAAGACTAACAGATGTATTGGAGCATAAGCTTTCATGGGTGAATGCCCACTTCGTCGGATGCATGTAATGGAAATTTCCAGGGGCAGGTATAAATATGCTGGCAAGAATCAGTCTGGAAATAACGGGGTTAGTTCAATCAGGGAGGGTGAGGTCCTCTGCTAGCAGTTGAAGTGTGAACACCAAGGGAGAAGAAACTGCTTCTGTAGTTGGCTAGCCATTCACAGTTTGTTTAATCCTGATCTGAGGTGTCAAACTTGCAAATGAACTGAAGCTCAGCAGTTTCTGTTTGGAGTCTGGTCCTGAAGTTTTTTTGCTGTAAAGATGGCTACCTTTACATCTGCTATTGTGTGGCCAGGGAGGTTGAAGTGTTCTCCTACAGGTTTTTGTATATTGCCATTCCTGATATCTGACTTGTGTCCATTTCTCCTTTTACGTAGTGACTGTCCAGTCTGGCCAACGTACATAGCAGAGGGGCATTGCTGGCACATGATGGTATATATATAACATTGGTGGACGTGCAGGTGAATGAACCGGTGATGTTGTAGCTGATCTGGTTAGGTCCTGTGATGGTGTTGTTGGTGTAGATATGTGGGCAGAGTTGGCATCGAGGTTTGTTGCATGGATTGGTTCCTGAGTTAGAGTTGTTATGGTGCGGTGTGTGGTTGCTGGTGAGAATATGCTTAAGGTTGGCAGGTTGTCTGGGAGCGAGGACTGGCCTGCCTCCCAAGGTCTGTGAAAGAGAGGGATCACTGTCCAGAATGGGTTGTAGATCACTGATGATGCGTTGGAGAGGTTTAAGCTGAGGACTGTAGGTGATGGCCAGTGGAGTTCTGTTGGTTTCTTTCTTGGGGTTGTCTTGTAGCAGGAGGCTTCTGGGTACACGTCTGGCTCTGTTGATTTGTTTCCTTATTTCCTCGTGCGGGTATCGTAGTTTTGAGAATGCTTGGTGAAGATCTTGTAGGTGTTGGTCTCTGTCTGAGGGGTTGGAGCAGATGCGGTTGTACCTCAGTGCTTGGCTGTAGACAATGGATCGTGTGGTGTGTCCGGGGTGGAAGCTGGACACATGAAGGTAGGCATAGCGGTCGGTGGGTTTTCGGTATAGGGTGGTGTTAACATGGCCATCACTTATTTGTACTGTGGTGTCTAGGAAGTGGACCTCCCGTGTAGATTGGTCCAGGCTGAGGTTGATGGTGGGGTGGAAGCTGTTGAAATCATGGTGGAATTCTTCCAGAGTCTCCTTCCCATGGGTCCAGATGATCAAGTTGTCGTCAATGTAGCATAGGTAGAGGAGGGGCATGAGTGGATGAGAGCTGAGGCAGCGTTGTTCCAGGTCAGCCATAAAAATGTTGGCATATTGTGGGGCCATGCGGGTGCCCATGGCGGTGCCACTGGTCTGGAGGTATATATGGTCACCAAATTTGAAATAGTTGTGCGTGAGGATAAAGTCACAGAGTTCAACAACAAGTTGTGCAGTGTCATCATCAGGGATACTGTTCCTGACAGCTTGTATTCCATTTGTGTGTGGGAAGTTTGTGTAGAGAGCCTCCACATCCATGGTGGCTAGGATGGTATTTTCTGGGAGATCACCAATGCATTGTAGTTTTCTCAGGAAATCAGTGGTGTCACGGAGATAGCTGGGAGTGCTGGTGGCATAGGGTCTGAGCAGAGAGTCTACATATCCGGATAGTCCTTCAGTGAGAGTGCCAATTCCAGAGATGATGTGGCGTCCAGGATTTCCAGGTTTGTGGATCTTGGGTAGTAGATAGAATAACCCCGGTCGGGGCTCCAAGGGTATGTTGAATTATTCCTGTGTGTGTTAGTGTAGGGAGTGTCCTGAGTAGATGGTGCAGTTTCTTAGTATATTCCTCAGTGGGATCTGAGGAAAGTGGCCTGTAGAATTTGATATTGGAGAGTTGTCTGGCAGCCTCCGTCTGGTAGTCAGACCTGTTCATGATGACAACAGCACCTCCTTTATCAGCCTCTTTGATTATAATGTCAGGATTGTTTCTGAGGCTGTGGAGGGCATTGCGTTCTGCACGACTTAGGTTATGAGGCAGGCGATATTGTTTTTCCACAATTTCTGCCTGTGCATGTCGGCGGAAGCATTCTATGTATAGGTTCAGACTGTCATTTCGACCCTCAGGAGGAGTCCATGTGGAGTTCTTCTTCCTGTGTTGTTGGTGGGAGGGTATATGTGTATCAGTGCGCTGTTCAGTGTTATCTTGAAAGTATTCTTTGAGTCAGAGGCGGCGAAAGTAGGCTTCCAGATCACCACAGAACTGTATCATATTCGTGGGGGTGCTGGGGCAAAAAGAGAGTCCCCGAGATAGGACAGACTCTTCTGCTGGGTTGAGTGTGTAGCTGGATAAATTGATGATATTGCTGGGTGAGTTAGGGGTACCACTGTTGTGGCCCCATGTGGCAGGTAGGAGTTTAGACAGCTTACGGTCCTTTTTCCTTTGTAGAGATGTGAAGTGTGTAGTGTAGATCTCCTGTCTTATTTTAGTGAAGTCCATTTGTGTGGAAGGTTGGTTATTAATGAAAGTCTCCAGGTTGGAGAGCTCTTTTTTGATGTTTTCCTGTTTGCTGTATACGATGCTGATCAGGTGGTTCCTCAGTTTCTTTGATAGTGTATGGCATAATCTCTCACTGTGGTGTGTGAAATATGTAGATAGCAATGGATTTTTCACCTTCAGTCCATTTGGTATGATGTCTATCCGTTTGCATTTAGAAAGGAAGATGATATCTGTCTGTACTCGTGCAAGTTTCTTCATGAGGTTGATAGATTTCCATTCCATAGTAATCACAGTATAACTAAACAGTTACTACAGACATCAGAAAGTATGACCCTTTGAAGAAATAACTATTTCTCTTCTGAAGTTGGTACTCCTCATCCATGCCTAAGACTGTCATATGTCCTTTTTCTCCTCTTGAAACCCAAAGCTCTACATCACAGTTTTACTTTAAACAGAGAGAACCTTGCTGAGGCCCTGCAAAAAGACCCATCTAAGCAACTCCATCAGTTAGAGCTCATTATTCAACACACCACAGTGCTCACATCCCTGTCAGCCTTGGAAATATTAAATGAACCCTTAACACACATATAGCAGTGGCTCTATGGGCCATCTTGTCTTTGTCGTTAAGTAGACATTTATAATCGTGAGGGCATTCCTTACCCAAGTGGAATGATTTTAAAAGTAGATCAAATTTTAGGCCTTAACTACTGTATTCAGCAGTTTCTCTTCAAGTGTATTCGCAACACAAATATATGACCGGGAAATTCAGTATTAAAGATAGAACAACAGCTTTAACATGGATAGTTCTTTTGTCTGTGCCAGTGCTATTACTGAGATCTCGTTTACATAGTCACTTTAGAAGGGAACAGGCCTTAAGACAACACACAGACTACATAAAAGTTACCATATTTCTTGGATCTATGTCATCTTTCATTTGAGATGTACTAGATTTCATAGGACACTCCAGATATTCATATGCTCGTTCTTGATGTGCAGGAACATTATTATTTTGGTTCTCAGCACCTTGGTCAGGAGATTTCATGTGCATTGGACAACCTGAAATAAAGAAAACATTAAACCATGCATTAGTACAAAAATACAATTCATAATCAAATGTAATGGGACTTGGAAAGGGAAGAACATGGTGTGCAAGTAGGTACACAAGTCAATTCTCTTAGAGCTCAGCAAACCACAATGTAAATACAAACCAAACCCTCCCCCCCACCCATCCACCCCCCTTTTGCTCTTTTCAGTTGAGCAATGGTTCCAACCTCCTCTTAACAAGAGAATATTATTTCATATTTTTTAAGGGACAGCAACATAATGATATTGACAGTTTCAATTAGACACAAGTACTCTTGTCAGTCAAAGAATTGGCAGTTTTTTCATTCCTGTGCTTATAGTTTTAACATGTCTCTTGAATTTAAATTGCCAATAACAAATTTTGCAGCTTTTGCATAAGTAATCTGATGATTCCTAAAAGAATGATATCCACAGATTTCATCTGATAAGTAACACACCAAAGTCTCTTGTTAAATGCTGACACCAAGCAACTTGAAAATAATTAACCTTATTTTTTTACATCCATATACAACAAAAACCCTGTTCCTGAAATCCCAGATCCTATGTGGAGCCCCACTGACTTAGTTCAGACTCTCTACAGGTCTGCCTGTGCAGATGAGATTGCAGGATCTGGGCCTAAGGAGGGAATGATGAAAAAAACAGACTTAATAGAGAAGAGTTAAAACACTAATTTGTGATCACTTGATATAAAAAAGCAGGTCATTAACTGAATGGAGAATCTGTAACAGTTACTGTGATGAACTTTCCTTAAAAACAGTACTCCCACAATTATTATTGCAAATGCTTAGTAGTGACCAATACAATTCAAGTTCCAGAACAGTTTCTATTATAAAACCTTTTCCACATATTCAAATCCACTTTATTTGGGACTGATGTTTCCATGCTTGTTTCTGCTCAAACATGAATTTATTGGGATTTTTCCCCCAAACTTCATAGCCATCCAAATTCTCTAAGGGTGTCAAATTTGGAAGTTATAGGGAAACAGACACACACTTCAAGAACATATATTTCTACATCCCAAAGCATTTGAGGCATCTTAAATGCTAAGACCACATTAAAGATTTGTAATTACCTTTAAGAATTCTAAAAACTGCGCAACTTAAGATTCATCGTTAGTTACCAACAGTCAGGAAATGCAAATACTAAGGTTTGGGGAAAAAAAGAAAACCAACTCTGCTGCTTTGCAACATACTGTATTTTCTGCTTCTGTTTTTCCGATTAAATGTGTAGTCTAACAATGTTTGCAACAGTATATACATAAGACTACAGGGTATGCAACACAGCTATGCAAATATTGCTGTTTGAACCTAATCTTCTGCATGTCCTGATTTATAATGACTAACTGTGGAACCCCAAACTTTAAGATTTAATTAAAGTAGCTTTTGGCATTTACAGTTTAAAAGATCTCAAGTCACTGAGACTAGCTAGACTTAAAGAGTATATGCCTACACATTTTAAGAATGCATTTGGGAATCAGCTCTTCTTATCTTCCAAGACGTCAGTTCAGAGTTCTGTAGTTGAGGACACAAATAACTATAGCAATGTAAGAAATACAACTTTAGACGTCCTACACATCAGCTTGGTAAGAAACTCACACCTCTTTACCTTTAAAAATACAACTACTTGCAAGTTGCATTTTTGTGAAGGAAGACACTTGTCATACTAATACTCCATTGCTGATAAATAGCTTTCCTTCCTTGCCAAATATCTTTCAAAGCACTTTTCTGAGGTTTAGATTTTGTTTCACTCCATTTTGGCAGGTAGTTACCTTCCATTTTTTCCTGATGCATGGGACATTCTGAAGGTGGAGATGCTGTCTGAGGGTGTACAAATATATTTGCTGACTGAACGGCAACAGATGGAGATGAAGCTGACAAACCCATCACAACTTCTAATTTTAGATCAGATTTGAAGAGAAAAAATTGTACATCTAAAAGACAAAACCATAGGCAATTCTTACTAAAACATAGTGGGGGAGAGGGATAGTTCAGTAGTTTGAGCATTGGCCTGCTAAACCCAGGGTTATGAGTTCAATCCTTGAGGGAGCCACTTAGGGATCTGGGGCAAAATCAGTACTTGGTCCTTTCAGGGTCCCTTCCAGTTCTATGAGATAGGTATATCTCCATACATTATAACCATGAACACATTTTCCACAGCAAGTCACTACAAAGAAATTAAAGTAAAAAACAGGCATAGGATGGTCAGCATACATAAATAGTTAAACACTCAGCATTTACAATTAATGATGAATTCATGAACACCAGCAAAATATCTGGCTTTTTAGCAAATGTCCAAGCACCTATCTACAGAGCTATATCAGAGCAAAGTAAAATGTTATTCCAAGTTCCTCAGTCTTCAACAAAAAAAATATCAGAACTATTATTTTTATGACAGTCATGGGTTATAGTCTGGTTCTGCCCCAAATTACCATGTGACCTCCAGTAAGTGTGGGTCTACTCTGAAGAGTATCTTTAAAAATAGCACCTCCTTAGGCATGTTTCCTCTGTGTATACTGCCACATGTACCGAATCTGGTGACAAAAATAATTCTTTTTGCTGTTCTTTTTAGACCTGAATGAATTAATACTTGTAACAGAGAGTGAACTAAATTTTATGCTATTTCCTATATCAACAAAACTGCTTGTTTAATTCTATGTGTAAGGTTAAATTCTACCTTCACAGTACTATAGCCTAATTTGAAGAGAAGAACAGTCTTCAGATTAAAGCACTGTACGTGGATTTGGGAGATCTGCATTCAACTCCTAATTCTGCCAGATTTAAGTGATTTGTCCAAGGTCACCCAGATTTCTCTGCACTTCGGGTCCCCAGCTGTAAAACGGGGAAGATACTTCTCTACCGCCCTGAGTTGGTAGGAGAACAAGTGTGCGAGTCTCCAGCAGGTGCCTAGATACTACGGTGATGGGGCCGTACACATCCAGCCGTGACCCAAGGCCTAGTTTGAACAGGCGGGAGCGCAGGTCTGAGTGGGGCCCTAATCCGCTCCGGAGAGGGGCGCCCCTCGCAGTGCCGTGGAGGAGGCGAGAGCCCCGGCCTCCCAGGGGGGCAGACAGCCCCGAGCCCCAACACAAGCGCGGCTCAGGGAGCCCGAGGGGCAGAGGCACGCAGAGGTCACAGAGCGGGTCTCCTGCGGGCGGTGCCCTGCCGGCCTGGCGGAGCGGCGAGGGGGCCCGCGGAGTACGAGTGCCCAGATCCCCGAGTCCGCTCGGGTCGGCGGCAGGAGCACGGGGGTGCCAGGCCCCCCGAGCCCAGCGGCCTCCGCTCCTCCCAGCAGGACCATGGCAAGGTCAGGGCCGCCTCCTGCCTGGCCCCCGCACCGCACCGCACCGCCCGGCCAGCGCCTCTCCCCGGAGAGCGGCCCACGCGCCCGCCCAGCCCCAGTACCTCAACATCCAACGCGCCCGGCCGGCAGCGGCTACCAGCCCCCCACCGCGGCAAGCAGAACCCAACGCGCGCCGCTGCTTCTCGCGCGAGCCGTCATACGCCGCTCAATCTGCGCATGCGCCAAACAAGAAAAAGGGGCGGTGTAGCCAACGCGCTGAGAGGTGGGAGAGAAGGGGCGGGGCCTACGGAGCAGTAGCGGGCCTTGTGCGGTGCCCCGCCCCGTCGCCTCGGGTGAGCCGCTGAGCTTTGCCCGTGCGCGTGGGGGACGTGCTGCGGAGCGGCTGTAGGAGACCCAGCAGCCGGCGGGGAGGTATTTTCTCAGACTGCTTTAAAAAGGAGTGTCGTGTAAACACCTCCCTTTGTTCCCAAGTGGTGTCAGGCTGCGGCCAGCCCGGAACAGCCGCAGGGTGGTTAGAAACGGTAACGCCTCATATTAAAGGGGCTGCTTAGTTACTGCCTTTAGCTGCGGATCCCCGAGGCCTGACCTGAGTGATCCCTTCGTTCCCCTCTGCTGCACTTTTTTAAATTTGTGTTTACTGCGCAGCTGGATTTCCTGCTCTACTAGCCTTTGATTTTGTTTTCAATCTGTAATACCTAATACAACACTTCATAATAATTTAGAATTGGAGCTCCTTCAGCTTTCGTGGAAGCTGGAAAATGACAGTACTATTCGTGTTTCAGAGTAGCAGCCGTGTTAGTCTGTATCCGCAAAAAGAACAGGAGTACTTGTGGCACCTTAGAGACTAACAAATTTATTAGAGCATAAGCTTTCGTGGGCTACAACCCACTTCTTCGGATACTATTCGTGGATTTACAAAGGTAGTCCAGCCCCTATAACCTAAAATAGCCGAAGAAACCTCTCATGTGTGTAACTGCTTCCTCGGCTCTGTTCCGTTCTCGCAGACAAGTGGAAATGGGCAGCTTATTTAAAAATGCTGCAATGCAGATCGAAGCAGGAAAGGTTGACGCAGATTTTTACATAAGGAACCAATTCTTCCCCTTGCATTTAAGCATGTAGCATGAAAATTGTTATGATGAATTCTCTAGGTCAACTACTATTTCTTAATTTAATAATTAGGTCACTACTATGATAGAGTAACATGTAAAGTGTAACTGAACATAGTTAAATTATAACTAGGAAATCAAAACACATTACATTGCTATTGGCTGAGAGTACAATGCTATTCTACTACATTTCAGATGAAGTTTCAGGTTGAGAAAGAGAGAGATAGTATTTACCTTATGTTTATACCAAAGAGAGATGCCTATTTAACAATGTAGTAGTAGTTATAAAAGTTACAGAAAAAATCCAAGTACACAAGCCACAAAATCTTGTGCTGAAATCAACACACCTGCCAGTTTGGGGGGATTTTTTTTGAGGCGGAGTTTAAAAAAAAAAAGAGGGAGGGACAATGTGGGAGTGGTGCATTGAGCACTTAGCATTTTGGATGCCAAAATATTTGTCTATGGAAGAAGGAAACTATCCCAATCACTTGCCTGCTGGTGAAAAAGTTTTAATTTAAAGCAGTAAAGAGAATGTAACTAGATGATGCATTTTACCCTATATAGTTAAGTGTGACTAGTAACGGAATACACCAAAAATAGCTATAGAATATTCTGGTTCTAGCCTTACTAGCGGTCAACAGGAATGACCAGAGCGCTCTCATTTAAGAGGCAACTTTCATGCTCGGTTAAGGCCACCCACTTGAATACATTTGTTTTGAGGAAAAATATGGATCAGTCATGACCTACTTCATTGTGTATGGCAAAACAGAAACACAAGTATTACTCATCTACTAGTACTATAAAGAGGAAGCATGGATGTTGTCTCAGAGGCACTCAGGAAAGCCTCTTCCTTAATACCAAATCTCTCTCAATTTTGGGATAGGCTCTCTGACCTCGTGTAGTGGGTGACTTCCTTATGATTCATGTAGGGGTCAATGCCCCACCAATTGCTTTGAAATTTGCCAAAACATCTGCTAATGTGATTATGTATGTCAGGGCTCAGATTCAGTTAGTACTCAGGCTACTACCTATTTCTCCAGAATCTCAGTATTCAGTTTAAAAAAATAGATTAAGGCTCTCACTGTTATGACTGCACAGAAAAATTAAAAAATCTGAACTCTATAAATAGTACAGAGATGTCTACTAGAGCCTACAGAGAGCCTGGAGCAATAACTCAGAAAGACATGCACTCCACATTCATCTCAATGAGATGTTCACTCAGGCTACATCTACAGACTTCTTACTCCTAGGGAATTCTGCACCACTGCGCGCACACACAATTCATGTGCCCTGCAATTTTTTTTTCTCTGCAGAAAATACATTCTGCCAGAGAGGCTCTGCAGTTATGCCTTTCGCTCACGCGGGGCTGCTGTGGCACCAGAACAGAGGCAGCTGGCTTACCACTCACAGGCCTTAGCAGTCAGCAGCTGATAGGGAGAGAGCAGAGGCTGCATTCCTCACCGTGCACTGTCCATGGGGCCAGGTGAGGAGGCACAGGATATTGGGGGCAGGAGAGCGAAGCACAAGGTGCTGCTGGGAGGTCACATAGACTGGGGTTCAGAAGGGCTATTGGGGAGACAGACTGGAGCAGGGACTGAATAGGAGTGGGGATGCAGGGGCGGGGGGGGGCAGAGCCACATGGGGACTGGGGGTAGCTGAGTGGGGGGTTCTAGGGACACATGGGGATGGGGGGGAGGGAGAAAGGGACACATGGGGACAGGGGCAGATATGCCTGACTGAATGGGAGAGGCTGGGGGTCAGCCAGGGTCTGCATGGGCAGAGGAGCTCCCCAACTCCCTAACAATCCTCCCCCCACCCCAAAAAAAAACCCCTGTTCATATTTCTCGCACCAACATCCAACAACCCTCACTTTCACTCCCAGGCTCCTTCCCAGAAATTATTTCCCTTTCCCTCAGCTCCTCCATTACCCCTGACTCCCCAACATTTACCCTGCTTCTGAGGGGTGCGGGAAATATGTTTCTGTATTGTAGTTTAAATGAACCATTACTCAAAGTTCTGTATTAATATACCTAGTAAGGAATCTATTTGTCAAAAAACATTTCCTGAATCTTTTTTGTTGTCTGTATTGTTACAGACATAGTTGTTGACAGGTATTTTGAAATAAATTATCAAAATAATTGAAACTGGCGTGATTATATTGTGTTATTTTGACAAATAAAATATGCAGAATTTTAAAATATTGTGCACAGAATTTTTAATTTTTTGGCACAGAATTCCCCCAGGAGTAACTTCTGTTGGCATAGTTATATTGGTCAAGGGGTGTGAAGAGGTGTGATCCCTGATTGACATATAGCCATGACAGCAGAAGCCCCTAGTGCAGGTGCAGTTATACCAATAAAATTTGCTTTTAGCAGTACAGTTTGTTTTGTTTGTAGGGAGCAGTTTTACTATTCCAGTACAAACTGCAGCTTTGCCTGTATAGCTGCACCTACTGTAAGAGTGCTTTGCTGGTATAGCGTAGTATTCCTACTTCAGGAAAGTACTCCTAATATAGACATTGCCTCAGATTCCTGAGATGATAATTTAAATGTCAACATTGTTAACTATTTTCTTGCTCATGTTAGAAAGGAGCAGGAGGATTA